TTTGTCGAAGAAAAGGGGGTGAGCGATTGCGAGGGAGTGAGAAGGGCGAATTTAAAATTAAAATATTATGTTATATTTTATGCAAAATAATTCACTTATTGAAATCTCAAATGACGAATTGTAAATTATAATTCCACGTGTTTTTATCATCGAAGAAATTAATTTAAAAAAATTAATGTATGATTTGTATTAATAATATTTTAATGACAATTAAATTCCTAACATATCTTCCTTTTCCCTCCCTCTAAGTCTCGGAAACCTAAAGTTTTAGATTTGTATAAATATGAACAAGACTTTAAAATTAGTTTGCCAAAGAATTTTTACTTCTGACATATGTACTTTGTACGCACGCACTTTTTTATATGAAAATATTGCTATTTATGACTTTCATTAGTTTTTATATATTCGCGGACGATTGGCGGACCCATGCGACTTCTTCGATACAAATACGTAGTCCTCTCGGAATTTCCAAATCTGCTTTGATTGCGAGGAAGTGGCATGCATCTGTTTAGCGCCGCCTGTTTCGTAAGTTCTCGTGTAATTTTCAAACGTATATCTTATTTTATAAGTGTGATTGTCCTCTTTTTAACAAGTATGTTATTTGAGAACATAAATAAACTATACATATTGTATGGACAATAAGGCAAACGGAAATCGAGTGACTTTAAATGGAATTTAACGCTGTATTTTTTGCTAGTATTAATATAGGATGGTAGGGAGATTACAACAAATTTTCGTCATTTGTTATTATCTTGTTCATGTTTAGGTTTATCGTATTAAGTTCATTTTCATTAGGTAGAACTATTATATACATTTTTATTTCAAAGTCAGAGTCAAATCATTTATTTCAATTATGCCTTATTAAAAAGGTACTTATGAAAGTCAAAATTACAAGCCAAAAATATTTAAAAAAATTGACTCTTCCTAAAGGTAGTTTCTATGGAGAAGAAACTCCATACTTATTATTTGTAAAGACCATGTACCTAGAATAAAAAAACTGCTATACTAAAATAAAATAGGCGCATGGTGTTATAAAAAACAATGCAGCAGATAACTATATTATTATGTAGATACATGGTGCTCATATATTTACAACAAATTTTATTTATTTTTAACTAAGTTCCTTCTTCTACATTCCCCAAAGTATGATTTTTTTCCTTACACAAGTTGTCTGGAAAAGTCTGTTATCAATGCTGCTCCCTTGTTTCTTATCATTTAAGTTGCCAGATTTTTAATACGAAGAACGAAGTGATAGATAAACCTCTTAAGCAAGGCAAGATGAGACTGGGCAAAGTCAGGATATGTAATGTTATTTTTTATGGTAAAGGTTTCATACCTCAAAGCTGTGGGCAATAAATTGAAAACCGCGTAGATGATGCTTTCACGTGAATAATTTTTTTCATCATACCCCGGAGGCGCATTAACCATCAGTGTACGATTTCGAGAGCAATTTTTCATTTAATATTTTTCGTATCTGATCAAAGGTTTACTTTGTACTTGTATGTGTGTGTATATATATATATACATAATGTATTTGGATTATGTAAAACTTTACGGATATAAGCGCGAATTTATTAAACTACTCGAAGTTTCGTGCTTTTCAGTGAGTGCTATGCAAGTTGATACTATTGACATTATGATTTAAATATTGCCATATTAACCCAGTTTTATGCGTTAGTATAATATTTTCCGAGTAAGTTGTATAACTGAAAAGTCTGAACATATAAAATTTTTGGGTCTGTTGGTTGTTAGATGTCGTTATTATTTGTCGGTAAATAGATATAATAAAATAAAAATAAGAAACGCCCTATATTCTAGTACTATAATAAGGATTATATTAAATATATGTTATTATATTTAATATTAGTACACGACCTCCGACGCGAGTGAAGGTCTCCTTCAAATTCTTCCATTCTCTTCTTCGCTACTATTTTCCAAAAAAATCCTCGCTATTTCCTTTATTTCACGTTTTACGTTTTTGGTGGGCGCCCTCTCATTTTCCACCGGTTTTTTTATATATTTTCTAGGTGATTCCCGACTATGATTAAGCACTACTACCAATTACTATAAATAACTTTTTTATAACATTGACAGCAAATACCAGGAAGATGCCTCTTAAACTATTGTTGAACATTATTTATTTTAAGTTCGTCTCTGCTACTTTTATTTCCATAGCTTGTTCAGTGTTATACCTGTCGTATCTTCAGGTATAACACTGAATTCACCTCTTCAGCTTTATTGCTAACGATTTAGGGTTAAAATTTAAATGTAAATTTGTTTACATATTGTGTAATAACGAAAATTATGGCTTGTTGTTACGTATCTCTCTCGTTATATTAGTACTAAATGACGTTAGTTTTAACAATGTTTCACTTTTAAAAACAGCAGAAATTTTAAAGTTAAGTATGAAATGCGACCATACTAAAGCTTATCAAGACATTTTAAAATGTAATTTGGAATTTGTCCAGAGTGTGTTACGTGCGAACACACAAATGCATAGTAGATTGGCGCGTTAATTTTTTTTATATAATAGGCGCAATTTGGCAGGAAGCTCTGATGTGTGCTCGCAAGTACGTTGCCGGCCTTTTAAGAACTGGTACGCTCTTTTCTTGAAGAACTAAGTCGTGGCACATACATTAGTCTATTTGATATACTAGCACTGCCATTTAACGGCTGGATAAATAAATACTAGTAGTATTACAATACTAATACCCAAAATTCATCATTAGGCTGTAGCCTTTGGGTTGAATGCCTTGGCGAACACCGAGAGATCTCAAGGGCGTGTGAAGGGCTGAGATGTTTTTAGTGGGTAGGGTCTCGCTACCAAATACGTTAATAATTTGAACTCGAATGAGTGGAATAATTAACTTTGCATCGTACTTTAAGTGTATGTCTCGCGTAATGTCTATTAAAAGCGCACAAAGTGTCTTAAGAAACTATGTATAAAACCAGGGCAAACTATTCAGGCAAACTGAGGCTTTGTTTAAATAGATATATTTATTTATTTCGTAATCCCACAGCTAAAATACTTCTAAATTATTTAACAAAAAAAAATATATTAAACATATAGCCAAAGATGGATTACTTATTTACAAAAAAGTTCATTTACAATAGGAAAAGTCAATAAAAATTATTCAATACATTCAAATAAGTAATACCTAATTCGGCTGTGTGTGTGATGGTGTAAAAGTGAGGCTATGTACGTGAGGATGTGATTTTTTTTTTATAGAACAGGGGGCAAACGGGCAGGAGGCTCACCTGATGTTAAGTGATACCGCCGCCCATGGACACTCTTAAAGCCAGAGGGCTTGCGAGTGCGTTGCCGGCCATTTAAGAATTGGTACGCTCTTTTCTTGAAGTCGAATTAGTTCGGAAATACTTCAGTGGGCAGCTGGTTCCACATAGCGCGTTTCAAAAATTGCCTTGAAAAACGCACATTCGTGTAACGGCGGACATCGAGGTAATACGGGTGGAATTTTGTATTATTTGTGTATGTAGTATGATGTAGGTGATATAGCGCTAAATATATATACAGGATGTCCCAAAAGTCGACGTCAATCATATCGCACCTCAATATTTTCATAGGTAATGCCACACGAGTTATCAGAAAATATATATGTGTTATAAATTGAATATATTTCCAGGTTTTGAAGACACTCATGTGATGATATTCATCGGTTTCGGTTTCCTGATGACATTCTTGAAGAAATACTCCTACAGTGCCCTTGGCTTTAATTGGTTCCTTGCAGCGCTCGTCATACAATGGGCTTTACTCTGCCAATCATTTTACCATATGAAGGACAACACAATATACCTTACAAAGAAATTGCTGTTGGGTAAGTTTTTAAAAATACTTGATTGATGATTAGTTAATAGAATAAATATGTATTTACAAAACATCAAAAACGTCACTTCTTGCACACATATCTGTGAACGAGTGTCTAAGAAATTATTACTATTCATTAGTCACATAATGCACTTTTGTAAAATTATTGTACATATTGTTAGCAACTAATATTTTTATATTTTTAAATAGGTTCTTATTACGATGTACATTACTAACCTACTCTAAAATTTCACACTAAGTGAATGTAATTCTTTGAGAAATATCTTTGAACCGAATTGATATTGAGGCATTTTTTCCTCTAAGCGAGGCAACATGACAATATACTATATAATTTATCTAAAATATGTCATGCTTTGTCCCGTATATTCATTATCAATATTATTTGAAATGACAGAATTGTTAAGAATAGAGGGGCTAGTATAAAATATTATAATACTTTCAGCATCTTACAGTATCAAGTACCTAGTCAATTTTCGATAAAAGTGATTTAGTATCTAAGACTTTCATGTTAGCGCATTGATAAAATTAACCGCCTATATACGAATGTTAATTGTAACTTTTAGTAGTTTGCCTTTTAATAGTAAAGAAATGAAGAATTAAAATTTTAGACTACTCTACAAATAAGCCTATATTGCTGTCGGCCTATATAATATATAATATATAAACATTTACTGTTACATAACCAAACTTAATCTAAAATATAAACAAATACATCAGATGTGCCGGTTTTGGTCGCCAGTGACACATACCCCTCTTCCAGCTGCTTCTGTTATATATCTCAGTTGTGCCTCCTATTCTCTTTATGTCGTCTGCCTATCTCTTGTTCTGTCTTCCTCTTTTCCTTTTTCTATATCGGTTGCCATTCTGTAATAATTTTTGTCCATTTTAAATTGCTATCTCTCGTCATGTGCCTGGTCTAGCGCCATTTCAATTGCCTTATTTTCTTTATAATGTCCTCTACTTTGATCGTTAATCATATTTTTTCTACTCTTGTGAAGTCTTAGTGTTACACCCACAATGCTGCATTCTATTCCTCTTTCTGAGATAATGCCCAAGTGTGGCAGCTATATGTGATACATGGTTGAACAAGTTGAACACCTTCTTCTTAACTACCATTGGGAAGTCTTTACTTTCAAGTACTTCCTTACGCCTTTAGTACACCTACGCAATCGCATGCGGCAGCGAAACGACGAAAAAACTGTAAGTTGTATGGCAACGTTTCGCATGTGTTTTGTCTCACTCTAATATATAGCTAGATGAAATAGTTGCGTCCTTGTCGGTATTGTTTCGCAAGTAACTGCGAAATGGCTGTTACACAGACGCAGCCGTTTCGCTAGTGGAGTTTCGCATCGCAAGGCGTCACCACGCGTTCTGTCGGTGAGGACAGAATTTCGCACAATGGAAGCCGAAAATATTGAATTATTATTGAATTTGATTCGAAATTATCCCGAATTATATTTAGTTGGGCTACGATCTTCATGTGATTGAAGTTCTAAGCATAGCTTATTTTCTCCGAGTTTTCTTCGTTTCTGATTTATTTCATGCACCCAGATTCTACGCTTTCTCTTTAATACCGACGCCAGCAACAACAATTCTTCCTCTTCAGAATCTGAAAGCGACGACTGGGACGACTCAGGTGACATTCTGAAACGACGTCTGCACCTACAGCCCACGAAAGCTACAATGACATTTCCATGCGAAAAAACTGCAGTGTACTAACGTTCCGCAGATATTTCGCTACCGGAATTATTTCGCAAAGACTCGCAGCCGCATACGAACGCGTAGGTGTACTAAAGGCGTTAAGGGACCAAATAAAGGTTACTTATACCCAAAATTTATACAACACAAATATGATAGAAATTCCTTGTAAATTTAAAATCATCCCTTAATAATGGTATGTAAACCACAATTTGAATTCATCCGTTTACCATTCAATAATCGGGTAGTGTGTGGGATATAAAACAAGCAAATTTTGAATAATTCCAAACGAGCTTACCGCATACGGTTACCCATGTGTGCTAGAGTTCCAATCTAATTGCTTTATCTCTGTTTCGCTTCCGAATAATTTCTGTTTGAAAAAGGTTATTTTAATTGCTTGGCTTGGGCATTATTAAGAGTACTCTGATGTATGTGACATAATTTAAAAAGGGATAGATTTAATGTGTGGACGTGTTTGTATATGGAAGAGTTTATTGCCAGTTCTTCTCTTCCGTTCTACGCCCTTGATTTGAGAACTGGCAGTAAATGTAAGATTAGTAGCATTTAATATACATTTATTTTTTGACGTTCATAAGTGTACATTTTGTTACCTATGTGAATAAATGATTTTTGATTTTTGAATTTTAATATTATGAGAGTAAAAGAAGGAGGTCAGTGGCCTCTGCCATTAGAAACATTAAAATAAAATAAAATATGTTTATTATGGAACATAAGATACATTGTATCACTTTTTCCACGTCATTAAATTTAAATTTGTAGGCATCCCTACTTATCGGCAAAGAAGACACAGGGTGTAGGCCGAGAGAAAAAGCCGGCGTAAGAAACTCATTAAAAATATAGCTAAATTGTATGCTTTGTCTGCGTCAATAATTTAGATTTTTTTAGTAAAATGCGCTACCGTTACAGATTACTGCAAAGCGGCATCTGTTTACAGTTATATCACATACAAAATAATACATACACAGAAAAACACAAACAAAATAAGACCGACCTTTGTTTTAAAGAGTGGAGTAAGGAGCAGACATATTTAGCTTCTGCCTTTCTGATGAATTTCAGTACAATATAGATGATTAGACTTCGGCCTCCTTTCCAAATTATCCTCCCTCAAATTAAATTCGACGCCAGATTCAATGAAACGAAAATATTTCCTATTTAATTTCGTATTTTATAATGGACATTTTGGGTAAAATTTACTTTCTTAAACAGACCTGACTTAATGCCTATGTAATTTAACTGACGATAAAAACAAATACAAATATGATATATATATAATTATTTGAACTAAAATATAAAAAATATAATGCTGAGTAATATTAAACTTAGATACAATAAATAATGTACAAATTAGACCTTAATTACTTGAGTGAACCCGTAAATTGCATTTTCAAAGTTACATCAATTTAATTTTAATATATTACTAACATTTGTCATAAATATTTGTTGATTTTCGCTTACATTAACGTGATAATCACATCACTGGGAATATGTTTTTTAATGTTTTTGTCCTAATATGCCTACTTGTTTATTCCTTTGTAAAAATTTATGCATCCATAATTTTATTTGATCCATATTTGTAATTCAATCACACACATATACTATGATTTTTTGTTAGCAAAACAAACTAAACCGATTTGAAGTCCCTCGCAGTTTTATTTTTACTTGGGTGAAACGTTTTTACTGTTGGAATATAGAATAATCAAAAAATGACATTGGTCAAATATCAAATAAAATTTTCATTTGTTAAACTTGACAAATGACAGCCAATATGACAGATTAAAATGTATTTACTATTTTAAATGAATAAAATTAGTGTATTAATCAAACAAAATACACTCATGAACGTCAAAAAAGAAATACATATTAAATGCTTCTAATTTTACATTGCCAGTTCTGAAATCAAGGGCGTAGAACAGGAGAGAAGAACTAGCAATTAACTCCGCCACTCTTTTTAATCGCCAAGTTTTTTGTACATTTTTTTGTAAAGAACTGCAACCATTACACCATGTTCCACATTACACCTTAGTAATTAATAGTAATCGTGTAATATACAAGAGAATAATGATTCTGTGAAAGCCAATTTGAATGTCGGTAACCAGAATCATATGAAGCCTTATTATCTTGAATAATTATGCTTCCACCAGCTGCCCACTGAAGTAATTCCGAACCAATTCGACTTAAGGTCCTTCCAGAAAAGAGCGTACCGATTTATAAAAGGCCGGCAACGGATTCGCCGAGCCCTCTGGCATTCAGAGTGTCACTTAACATCAGATGAGCCTCCGTTTGCCCCCTGGTATATAAAAAATCATAGGTTTGTTTAAAGTTTATTTCTAATTAAAAATGCCTTTTTTATTTTCAGAGGCAGATATAATGTCGGCTACAGTTTTGATCACATTTGGTGCCGTTCTTGGGGTTGCCAGTGGACTTCAGCTGCTTTTCATAGCTATTATTGAAACAGCCGTCGGTTGCTTCAACTTCTGGCTGGTTGAGGACGTCTTTAAAGTAATTTCGTTAATTAAATTATGTAGAGAATTTATTTTATTAGTAATTACAGCTATGTGTTTAAATTATTCATATATCACGATCCAGGGATGGATCTCTTCTCTCAAGCATCAATTTCGCTGTGTAAGCTAATTTCTTTAATTTTATCAGACCGATACAGTGTTAGACATTGTTTTCTTTAAAGGATGTCAACGGTGACATAAACGTATTGATACCAAAACCTTTCCTTTAAACGACCACAGAGCACATAGGCTATTTTAAATTATATTTATCACAACACAGAGCATCAGTCAATAGTGATAAAGGGATCGGAGGATCGTTATTCATATATTTATGACGTGAAATATATAATATATAAAATAATATTTACTCAAAACGGCATATCTAAATATTTATCTTATTAATATTATATAGCAAGGTTATATTATCCGTTTTCAAGATTCGTTATACATGTTCACTACGATGATGCAATATGCTAAACGTTTAAAAATTTAAATTGAAAATGCGAACTTAATAAACGGTAGAAAAACATACCTCAAAATTCTTGCAAAAACGGGAAACGACACGGCTTAACGAACGCAAACGTTGTACACGAAAACATGTATACTGTATACACAAGAGCATAATATTTTTCTTTCATTGGTATACCAACGAACAAAGGAAAACGTATGGTAAAAATGATATTTGATTTTAAAAATATATCCTCACAAAAGTCCTATGAAGCTGTATTGTTTGTTAAAACATTTTTATATGAAACTCTTTGTTTAATTGGCATAACTTTAATAAGTATCAGTTAGTGTATATATATTTTTATATAACCATCTCAAAGACTGACCTAATGTCAGATTAGTTAATAGCTGACTTGATTAATTATAAGGCAGAGAATTACGTCTTTAGTCACAACCTATTGAGAACCTATTTAATCATGATAAATGCATATATAATTATTCGACTCTGAGACAACAACTTACATTATTTACTCATTTATCTTAAACTTATTTACATATTATATTTATTACAATATTCTATAAAAAATATATTAACTTATATGATAAAAAAATGAAACGAATATATCGAATATATAAATCAAAATGTATGTTTTTATTATAAATAAAATTTAGTCCACTTTCGATTCGTTTCACAGTCTCTCTTTCTATACCTGAGTATCGCAGTCAGCTGTAGAGCTGTTCTTAATCAACCTGATCCTTCTGACACAAATGATTTGCTTCCACCGATTTCAGTCCTACGCCACTTATAACTTTATATTGGTGTATAATTTTGAGGAATACAAGTCTTTTTTTTTAAAGAACAGCCTTGCGATTCTGTAACTCACTTTTCGAACTCTCACAGCGGTTTTCGCAGCGGCGGTCGCGCTCAAATCAGTCGTGAACGAGTCATTTTATGATTTGGCATTCTGATAAGGTCCCTCCTTGTAGTTTATTGTTTATCAGAATTTAACAGAATCGCAAGCCAGGTGGCAAACGGGAGGAGGATTACCTGATGTTAAGTGATACCGCCGCCCATGAACGCTCATGTCAGACGCTCATCCGCAATGTCAGAGAGGCGCTCTCTAGCGAGTGCGTCGCCGGAAAAACCCTTCCACTTTATCGGTCCATCGCGTTGGCAATCGTCCACGCGATCACGTGCTATCAATTACAATTCCTCTTTTCTTCCGGAGGTTGCCTAACGAGGCATCTTTCGCCATTCCAATTCTCCTTTATATATCGGATAAATCTTTCGTGATTAAACTATGTTAATTCGATTATACTATACATTGTATGTTCATATTGTGTGACAGGATATATATTATGTTCGTATTGCCTATTATTGGCTAGTAGGTAAGCTGTCTGTGCCGGACACACATTGTAATTTTTAAAGTCTAAGACATACCGTTATAATTGCGGTTATAGAAGAAAATCGGGACATACATTACATTGGAACATATAATCACAGTATTGAAAACCCAAGTGCTTAACCAATAGCCGTATATTAATTCTGTATTATTGTAAAAACTGTGGCTCAACATATTGACAACCATTTAATTTCCCTAAAGGCAGCTGACGTCGGTGGATCAATTGCAATTCATGCGTTTGGGGCTTATTTCGGCCTCGGTGTGAGCTTGGCTCTGAAAGGGAAGAAAAAAAAATCTGAAACTGCGGAAAATGTGGTTGACCTGAATGGCCCTAGCTATATGTCGGATGTAACGGCTATGATTGGTATGTATTATATATAATTACTTAAATGGTATAACGTACGGAAAGGATTTGTTTAAGAATTTATATTTTTGTTGTCAAAAAAGTTTTTTGAAGTACTTTTGTAAGTAAATCATTAAGCACCTTATTAAAGACACCATGCATTAAAAAAAGTCTAAGAAAAATTGTAAAGTAAAATATATTTATTTGTAAACATGATTATAAAGAGAACTCAACTGCAGAATCTTGGCCAAACACGTTAAATTCGCTAAGCTTTTCTTTCCTAGACGGCTATTGTTTTTCGTAATTGCTTGCTTCGTCATGTATCATATATTATTAAGGAGTGTAAAGCATGTTTAACTTATGATGGATTATATGTGAACATTACGTAATGTGATACATTACGTGCATTAAATAATTTAATTTTAATAACAAACGTTAGGGGCATATTATACAAACAAGGACTTTTTTCCCTTTATAAATCCCGTACATCACAAACATTGGGGCATGCATACAATTAAAAAACGACATAGTAAGATATTATATATATATATATATATATATATATATATATATATATATATATATATTATAAGCTAAGCTTTGTTTACAATCAATAACTTCGTCGAGGCATTTTCGTATGTACACATTCACCAATATGAAATTGATTTCAAATAACCAAAATACGAGCGAACCTTCAAATATTTTTCGTCTAAGGGTCGCATTTATATTGGGACGTACAGTATAGAATATCGTTGTTTTGTTTTTTGTTTATTTAAATAAAGATAAACAGTGGCGCTATAATTTTTGTTCTTGGCCTCAGTTTTCGATATGTGTCGTGATTATTTTTCCTCAGTGATCACTGATCAGCCTTCTATGCCTTCTATTTCTTCCTAATTATTTAATTGAAGACTCACTGAATAGTCTTGTTTCTAAAGTTTTATTTATTGTTTATAGTAAGCGGTGTCTGAAAAATCAAACGCAATCCATTAACAGTTTGTCTTTTTTTAAATACTTTTTTTCTAGAAATCGGATTCTTGGGCTGAATTTTGTACTAAAAGTACTTTTGTTTTTGTATATTTAAGTGTTACTTTTGTCAGGTTGTAGGGGGTAATTGAGTTGGCGTCGGGCACTTTGACAGATTTTACGTGTTGCCGGTTAAATGCGTATTAGTAAGTGGACTAAAATGTGGGTAGGCATTCAAGTCGAACTTGTTTGGTAAAAATGTTGTTGTATATATCGCATTTTTGTTTAAAATGGCAGAGAAGAACTTTAAGATGAATGAAGGATCACAGAAGAAATCTCATCCTCCCTCTCTGGAGAGATGGAAGCTGACAGGCTCAGATACGGAAACAGAGAAATCACAACAAATAAAGACCAACATATTATGTAATGAAAATTAAAGCAGCAGTGAGGATCAAACAAAAAGCTGATGTTTTTCCTCTAGAAAATCATACGGAGGAATTTCTTCGCCTTAAGGCGAAAAACGTCCGTATGACGATGCGCCTAGAAGAATCAAATAGAGAAACTCAGGAAGGACCTGATCGCCCAGACATTTAATGGTAGGAAGGGCTAACCGAGGTTTTGAAGTCCTTGATAATCGGTTTTTACGCGTGAAGAAAATTTATCCGCCATTTGGATCGGATTGAACGAGGGAAAAGTTTTTGTTCAATGGATCACGCCTTTAGATATAAGTCACATAAACATAAGACAGGCAGCAGCAGGTACAGAAGGTCTAAGGTAAAAAGTGAAGCAAATAAAGAAAAGGCAGTTCAGCAGTAAATTGAAAGTGGTGCCACAACAGCGAGAGTTAGTACCCCCGAAAAAAATATCTGAGGATTTAAGGCCATGATGACGCAGTTATGGCTGAGGATTGCTGCCCTGTCGAATAAGGCAAGTTTGTTTAATTAAGTATCAAGACATTGAAAGGGGAGACAGAACAAGCATTAGTGTGCTTGTACAATTCCCAGTTGCAATAGCAAAAATAATTGGGGAAGGAAAGTGCATTATTTTACGGGTACCAAGAAACCCATTAGAACCTCTAAGGGGTGTTGATGTCATTTTCTTTTATTTTATTTATAAGCAATAATAGAATTAAAAAAATCGGTTGTCTGTAAAGTCGGTTTACTGACGATTGTTAAACGTGACAACGTCATAAGAAAATACTGATGGAATGGTTGCATTTTTCAAAAAAAAATTTTAATTTTATTTGTTTGATAGACATTTTGTATGGATATAGAGAAGGAGGTAAAATGGAAATCACAATGGAATTGATCAAGTTACATGTATTTGTACGCATAAATACAATTATGTCAATTTTTTAACGAACGAACGCTGCCGAACGCGGGGGCCGATTGTGCCTCTTTGTCGCTCGTTCCTCGCTCTCGCTTGCACTTCAAGCCTTAAATGGAACGCTTCAGAGCGAGGAGCCGAGGCAACAGCCAGCTAACGCCGCTACGTCATGTTTTTTCGTGCGTGCAGCCGTCTCCAACGAATAATAAGACGTTGTCACGTCAATAATTAAGTAGAGAGAACATGCCCGTGGGTCACACGTCGGGCACAAGATATTACAACCCTACTGTAAATAAACATATGATAATTTAGTAGGAGGATTTCTGGAGTCACTGGGTCTCTTGATTGAATGCGAACGTTACCCCAAGTTTCCCCAATAGTGACGTGATGTGTTTGAGAGTTATTAGGGGTTAGGTGATTAGCGAAAGCATGTCTTTTATATTATATAAAAAGAAGTCGCCGCGTCTATCTATCTATATATCTATCTGAAATTTGTAGTAGTCACCAATATCTAGGTTGATTTATGAGAAAGCCCTAGGTATTTCATATTTTAATGTTTAGCAATAACGGGTGCCCGTGAGAAGCAAAGCGGGTTGTTAGTAATTTATAAATTTCTCGGTAAGCTTTATACTTGCAGTTGCATTCATTAGCCTTCCTTATTTATCTACAATACCGTAAGAAGTCACACCCAACAACTTGTATGGATAATACATGGGGAAGAGTATAAAATATCTTCTTTATCTCTGTTCGTGGGTCTTTCCACACATTACACAAGTTATGACTAATAGAAAGGAAATTTTATACGTCGCAACATTGTATGAATTACGAAGATTGCGTGGCTAGGGTGATAATAACTGTAATGTTGCTGTATTTATGGCATCATTTAAAAAGACCAGATTGCGGTCTGTTTGTGAAGATTAAAGAATAAAGTTTTGTATTGTATGTCTCATAAATTGGAGATGTATTAGTCTGTACCCAGCTGGACCCAGTGGTACACATATTTTTCCTTCTATACGTATTTAACACGTACTCTTGCGAACAAGAAATCGGTTTGTTATATAAATAAAAAATTACAACGCGTATCTTTCGCCAGATCCTCAAAGGGATTCCAGCAGAAAGATACGAAAAAATCTTCTTGAAGTTTTCAAATAAAAAAGCGAATTAATTATAGTTTTAAAGTTCACCAACATTATGATATGGTTAGATTTTATATTTAATGATTGGCAGGTGTTTTAACTGTAGATTATCAGCGATACTATAAGAGAAGTCTCTTCTTGATGTTTTCAAATAAAAACAGCAATTAAATTATAGTTTTAAAGTTCATGAACATTAATATATGGATCGATTTTATATTTAGTTATTGGTAGGTGAATGTTTTGCCTCTAATCAGAGATACAAATATCCTTGCTTACGGATTGGAAACTCCTTCACTTCTTAATGTATACATAAACTAGTTAACTTAATACATTTAATTCTGTTAGTAATGTAATGCCAGTCAATACAAATAAAAAGTATTATTATTGAATACTTTTATGCCTGTTGGCGACACCTCATCTCATTACTTCTTCCATATTTTTAATATCTAAAAGGAATTTATATATTTATTTAAAATATTGTGTTTAGTTTCTTACTTTTATGTTCACCATTGATCATAAAATTCATACGAAAATTATAAATTTTGAAAAGTGAAATAATTAAACATCGTTAAATAAAAGGTGGAAAGAATGTTTGTTTTTTATTGCTTCCACTGCCTAATTCAGTTTTATGGTTGTATTGTTTAACACTAAATCTTTTTTTGTTCATCCTTGGGAAATATTGTATGGTACTCAGTCTACTTTACGCTGTCTGGTAATAATCCCTTAAGATAGAGACATTTTGATGATACTTTTCTTTTACTTTAAGTCTTACCTAGAGTTGGTATTTATTTGAAAAGTTTTTAGTAAAATTTATTACTTCTATCTATTAAAGGATCAATATTCCTCTGGATCTACTGGCCATCTTTCAACTCGGCACTCACCAATTCTAACACCGAGTACCAACGGGCCGTCGCCAATACATATTTGGCGCTTGCAGCTGCTACAGTAAGTCATATCTGCTTTAATTGGTTCCCGAGACCTAGTAAAGCTACGGTTTCCTAGAAAAGCGGTGCCGTTATCTAACGGACGTTATGTAACGTTGAGTGACGTCACCCATACGTTGTCTGTAAATAACATCGGAGTAGGGTTTCTAGAGAACGTTGAGTGTCACCGTAACGTCAAATAGCGGTGCTGTCATTTTCGTGACGGCCGTTAAAGCGGTGATAAACAGTAGTTCAGCGTTTTCGCGTGTAGCGGCGAGCGAGCGAGCGAAAATCATGAACAATTAATTGATTTTGTTGAAAATCATGAAGCTTTGAACAATGTCAAATCACGTAACACGTATCACGGTTTTTGAACCGTCTTTGTCTTCTGATGACTCTTCATTATCCAAAAATACTAATAATGCTATGTCAAAATCGTCCATTTTTCACCAGTGCACGACCTACGCTCGAGTCACGATTGAATACGGTCGCACTACTTTCTAGGAAACCACAGCTTGGCCACCGTAAAGACAGCCGTTAGTTAACGGCACCGCTTTTCTAGGAAACCGTAGCTTAAGTTCCTATATAACATTTTTCCACACTTTCTGTTAGTAAATTATCTAAACCAATCAGAGTCTATTACAGTAATTTATTACATTGTTTAGATAAAATGTCTAGTTATTTACAACGCATTTATAAGTTCCCAACTTTCAAAGATTTGGTACGCGTTTAAAGTCTTTAAGTTGTATCGGTTAAAGACACTACAACTGGCAGTTAGTTTCATAAAGTGGTCATGCGCGTATTTGCTTTACTTTAGTAGTCTTTAGTATATAGGCTTATGCTAAAATTTTAAATACGTTTACCATAGAATTAGTTTGCAGCTAAAAAATATCTTTACCAGCCCTAAGTTTCCCTAAGTTTTTGAAGTTATACTTCTTTTCGCGCGTTAGGGAAAAGTGATGAGAGTAAATTTTTACGATGCGCGCGCACTGGGTCACAAAAATCCGACACCGTGAAGTTAGCTATAGTCAAAGAAGTATAACTTCTAAGGCGTGTACATAAGTACATACACGTTTTTTTAAACTTGTTGCGACTTCGGTATGGCATAAAGTAGTATTGTCTTTGATTAACATAACTTTTATTCATTTAATAAAACACTATTTTGACCGGATTGAAGTTATGTATTATTATAAATTTACAACTATTTAACATAATTTTAAATTTATCCGACGTTTCGCGTGCTTTACAGCGTGCGTGGTCACGGTGCGTGTCACCGTGTTAAATAGTTGTAAATTTATAATAATACATAACTTCAATCCGGTCAAAATAGTGTTTTATTAAATGGCATAAAGTGTTAGATTTTGACATACGGCAATCATCTCTCTGAATTATCGTGGCATGAAAATACGCAATGCACAAAATAAGGAGGATAAATATTACACATTTAATAAATACAAAATGGAAGAGCATAAAAACAGTTTATATGTTCACGGCCTAGCGAATTTTCTCATTGTGTGCTATCGTAAATTAAATGTTATAGTTATGTCAACCAAAATTAGTAGTTTTATACCTAATCAACAATATTAAAATATTATGTTTCACTATAAAAATGGCTTGGTTAATTCAATATATCAAGAGAAACAAGTGGCGCTTACAACCTTTGTTCTCGGTTATCGTTATCTATTTCGTGATTTTTTTTGTCTTAACATGCACGTTACTGATCAGCCTTGGTTGACATCCGCTGTAAATTTTTGCATAAGGCATGAGCGATAGTAAAATGTGCACATAGAAAGTAAAGACGATTGGTGAATTGCCGGGGTTCGAACCTACGACCTCAGGGATGAAATCAATCACTCAAGCCACGAGACTGACACAGCTCTCAATATACGAGTTTTATCGGTACCTATATAATTTTAACGCACGAACAACAAACAACTTAACGCACGGCCTTGTCATTAATAAGCGATCTCTTACAGGCAATAATTATTTCGGGTTAGAAGATGAACCGCATTCAAAAAAATGTGAGCCGTCACGGGACGTCTGGCAGATGTGAAACATCGACATTATTTTGTAAAAATAATATGCAGAAAAGAACAGATTGTAATAGGAACTAAATAAGTCATAATGATAAAATAAAATATTACGATTTTTTTCCAGATAACGATGACTATTTATTGAATAAACATTTATTTTCATTAAATACAAAAATTTACGAATTTATTTCAAATCGTGACTACTTAATTCGTTTAATCAGTGACTTCGAAATACACACACCATACAAACTACTGCATATAGACTGTATATATATACCATCATAAAGCGTGGCGACGCGTCGCCACGGCAGAAATTGGTTTTACGTGCGGCTATAGATGTTTCACATCAAAATTATTTATTGCGTAATTACTATGCTATTTATGATACCTATTGTATATTTCATTTGAATATTCTTCTGAAATACTTTTTACTTATTAAATTATCCTCGATAAAATCTAGCAGAGACTTATTAATTGAACTACATTTTATTATCCTTTTAAGTAAGAAAGAACGAGTAACATTTTCATTTAAGAATTGTGAATTCGTTCTTTGTGCAATGTTTTTTAGTTTTTATTTAGCCGTTATCCCGAGTAATTCATTAATTAGATCCATTAATTACTTTTAGTATAACAATTGTTTTATCTAAAAGTATATGAAATATTTACGAGCCTAGACTGAATGAATATATATGTATATAAGTAATAAGTATACTAGACGACTCAGCCAAGCGTTGCTGTGGCTAAGGTTTTTGTTATATAGACATAACAAAACATTTATTACAAACGAAAACGATATATTACATATTACATTGGTTATTCCAGTAGTAATTGTAGCTTATGTGAAACGTTGGTACTTTCAACACAGCGCCATAGAATTAGATTTGTGACTGTCAAATAATAAACAAATAATTTGCAATAGAAAATATTGCGGGTTATAAGTTGGTGTAAGCTATCTATCTTTAGGTTAACTGCACACGGTGAGAAAATTTGATTGGAATCGGTTCGGTAGTTTAGGAGTCCATAGCGAACAAACAACGTGACGCGTAATTTATATATATTAAGATTTGAATATATTTCTTGTTAAAAAATCAACATAGACGGTTCATTAGTCCTTTGAAACATTAATACTATGGTCTTGGAAGTTATAGTAAACCAGCGGTACCTCGAATTTGAGACTCGCCTTGCAGATAATACGCGTGTAAGTTGTTGTTTGTAGCGTCTTGATGATTTCAAATTTCGTTAAAAGTACGTTATTTTAATAAATATGTTATCTTCATGATGTCTATTTTAGGGGCTACTCTTAATAGTAAGAATAATTTGATAAAACAATTGCATTTATATTCATTATTTTTACCTTAAATGCTGAAGGATGTGTAATTTTTGTGTATGTTTAAGCATAACCCCCGTCCAAAACGTAGGAACTATGAGGAGAAATGTCAAATTATTCGGATTTGTATACAAAACACATTGATATAATCAATTTTTGTCGCAGTTATAGAGTACATCTACTTATCAACAAAAATATCACGAAATCTAGTTTTTAAACAGCGCAAAAATATTTATGTATGTATATCTTAGTAGTTTTTGTAACAATTATTTGCATTTTTTTATTAACTAATGTATATAGTATATACATTATACTATATATAGTATATACATTATACTATATATTGTATATACATTAGTAAATAAAATAGTATACACACAAACCTTCGAAGACTTCTTTACTTACTCTGTTAATGTTTACTATTTTCTTTATCTTTTTTTGCGTCTGAGGCGGAAACTAACTGTTGTGGTCTCTGGCAGAATGACCAGCGCTGTGGAACACGTCTGCTCCACAGCATAATGCTGACCTGTGTACCTTATTCCTTTTTTTTTTCCTTAATTTTATGTTTCTGTTTTGGTTATTATTATTATTCTGTGTGTTTCGTGAGTAATGTATGTCTGTTTGTATGAGAAAGTGTTTTCTAATAAGATAGTGTTCAGAATAATAACTGTTAAATTTTTTAGTTCATTTCGTTCGGTTATATTTTTTTTTTAATTACAATTCCAACTGCCGCCAAATATTTCTCACAAGTTAACTAAATTGTTTAATAACGTTCTAGGTAACAACTTTCGTCATGTCTTCAGTATTGAGCAAGCATCATGGCAAACTGGATATGGTGCACGTACAGAACTCAACGTTGGCTGGAGGAGTGGCTGTTGGATCAGTGTGCAATATGTATATTGGGGCAGGAACTGCTGTTGCTATCGGAATGGGGGCTGGAGTGCTCAGTGTGCTTGGGTACCAATACTTAACAGTAAGTAGAAATGTACATTTGTCAATATAAATAATTAAAATCTTGGGTTTTAACGAACCTCGTAGAAGAGATGTTTGCTCACTTCAAACATAGCGAAGTAATTTAAATTATATTAGTATATAGCAGTTGTGATTGTAACATTAAAATGACATATATACCATGTTATTATTATTATTATATTAACGACATCTATATAATATATATTTGTACCATATTATTGCAAATATATTTACTTTTACTATTATTATGCCGCAGGATTTTTACAAAACCTATTGTAGCCGCTTACTACCTTTCTTTTGTTTTTCAATATACAATAATAATAGTAAAATAATTGTTCGGTTGTTATTCGTCAACAACATCTCTAGGCTATTATTAAAAGGCCGGCAACGCACTTGCGAGCCAAACTGTCTATGGGTATATCACTTAACTTCAGGTGAGCCTCCTGTCCATGTGCCCCCCTGTTATATAAGAAAAAAAAATCGCGTTTACAATTGACCAAGCACAATCGAACGGAACGTTTCGTCTTGCGTCTTTTCATTCTCACTCCCCAGATGACACCGTGTTCGTACAATTATTAAAATGTGTAGTACGCACGTTAAACAATACAGTTTTTATATTTTCACAGCCACTACTCACTCGGATTGGAATTGGTGATACATGTGGAGTGCACAACCTTCACGGAATGCCTGGCGTCTTTTCTGGTATACTGACTGCTGTCTTTGCCGGTCTGGCGACTAAAGAGGAGTACGGCGCTGATCTGACCGGCGTTTTTGAGGCCATGAATGAGGTACGGTATAAAAACTTAAATAAACTAGCTGACATGGCAAACATTGTTTTGCAAACATTGAAGATTGGTGATTATACTCATAAGCTTGACCGAGCGCGAGAGAAACGGACAGTCTTTTCATGATGCATATTCAGTGTGACGTCACGCCTCGCGCTTATTCACATACACTACACAAGCACAAAGTGTAAATGTGTTGAAACCGCCAGCTTTAGATAACAGACCAATATCGAACTAGGCTTAGTTGTTTTGGCATATTCGACAGATACGATAAGGAAAAAATGTTTAAAAAAAAAATCTTTCAATCGCACACATTTTTTAAATAAAAAACTAGCTGCCCCCGTGAACTACGTTTCTCCTTAATGTGATTTTACTTAGCCTACCATTTTAGTTCATACCCACATGGAACATTTTGCTATGCTACCCCAGAGAATGCTCAGTTTTCCGGAATCAAAACTTTTTCTGTGAATTTTTCGCTATTAAACCTCAGAGTTCAAATCAGAAGTTTTATTTATCAAATAAAAAATAGGAGTTGATCGTAGAGGGGTGAAAATTTATTGGGTTTGGGTTGTATGTATTTTTAATGCCACATAATAAAATAAAAAAATTTTATCCTAAAAATATTTTTTTTGTGGTGGACACTAAAAAAGTGTGGGTTTGAAAAATAGTTAGTAGCCGATTCTCAGACTTACTGATTGTGCATAAAAAATTTCATAAGAATCGGTCGAGCCGTTTCGGAGGAGTATGAGAACGAACATTGTGTACGAGAATTTTATATATTAGATGTTTAGATACGAGTTAAGTAACCTAACATAAGTTATGTTATACATATTTTAGTTAATAATTAGCGTCTAATCTAATCCTTACACTTGTAGGCATTAAATTGTACAACGTCAGTTTTGGTACTAATAAATTTAAAATTCTCGTTTCCGGTAATGTCCAACAGGTCGACTACACTTATATTCTTTACTAGTAGACTCGGCCAAGCGTTGCTGTGGCTAAGATTTTTGTTATATTACATAGTAGTAAACTATTCAAGAGAAACGGCAGGAGAACACTAATCCACCATGCTTTTTTGGTAGTTATGCCATTAAATTGTAGCTTATATGAAACGTTGGTATTTATTTTGATAAGGATCAATACCTAGGTACGAATAAAGAGCCTTTTCTAGCGGTGGTATTTTAATAAAAAAATAATAATAAAAGGACGCTGTGTCGTAACTATAAAAGATAGAGACATGCTGTCGTGACATTTTTTATAGATAGTGATGTGTCCTGAAAAATATTAATACATCATTATGTTCTATCTATATCTATATATATATTGAAGGAAGTTTTTTGTTTATTTTTTTACACCTTGGGTTAGATTATTCAAGTTTTAGTAAGCATCCCTGATTATTTTGAAAATGAAACATAGCTTATGCCACTCGGGAATAGTGTAGCTTGCCAACGGTGAAAGAATTTTTGAAATCGGTCCAGTAGTTTCGGAGCCTATTCATTTCAAACAAACAAAAAATCAAATCTTTCCTCTTTATAATATTATTAGTATTAGTATAGATAGATAACAGATCTGACACTTTGATTTAAGAACCGATATCACAAGTACAAGCCGTCGGAAATATCTGCGAACCTCGCTGGAATGCGCTTCCCCTGGCGCCCCCGCACCCCGCCCCGTTTTCGCCTATCCAGTACCGTTGCCAACGCAATCGCCGACGCCGCACGTGTATTATTCTTGCTTTCGTAATCGCATTTTAGTGTTTATTGTTTCTCTGTTTGGTGAAATATTACATAAACTACCTATTTAGTGCTGTATGTAAGATGGGTAGGTACGAGTATCAATAAAAATAAGTACACAAATAAAATATTTTTTATTTTTACATCTTCAATTTTTTTGCTATCTCTCCAGTTTGTATGACGTCATTAAGCCAGGTTCGCAGATATTTCCGACGACTTGTAAATTTTTTGTTAGTCTAGCGTCACAACCCCACTAATTTTATTTTAATTATAAGCTCATGTTTTAGACGATTAAAAACAAACACTTACCTTCAAACAAATAGTTTCACTTATTTTTTTATTCATTTAGTTAACCTATGTAGGTTAACGGACCTTTATAATTGTCCATTGAGTTGTCAAAAGTTCTATTATTTGTTAGTGCCTATAGTAGTTAATTTCTAGTATTTTTTATTATATAAATTTTAGAATAACACTTTTTTACCGGATTTGAAGTTATGTTTTATTATAAATTTACAATTATTTTACATAAGTTTAAATTTAACCGACGTTTCGCGTGCTTTACAGCGTGCGTGGTCACGGTGACTGAAGACAAAAGGTGTTGAATATCAAAAAGTATCACAGCTGTAGAAAAAGTTGTATTATCTGTATTTATTTATTTTCCCCGGAGTTGGTATCGACTAAAAGATGGAAAGACCCTCCATCTTTTACTTCCATCAAAATTATGTGAAATAATTGTAAATTTATAATAAAACATAACTTCGTTCGCAAGTCAAGGGCATAGAGCGGGTAAGAAGAACTGGCAAGAAACTTTCCGCCACTCTTTTTAAAGGAAAGGTCGCCTGTTAGGGCAGGAAAAAAAATAATTTCATCCCTCCAACTCACGCGTTACGTTTAATTTCAGGAAGGCGTCGCAAGGACTGCAAGCGACCAAGCTCTAAACCAATTTTTGTCATTGATAGTGACTCTTGTAGTTTCTTTTATCGCTGGAACTATCACTGGTAAGTTTATGGAGGAAAAGATCCACCCTCATATTGAAAAGTAAAATTTCAATATTTTTGTGTAATCAGCCTTGCGATTCTGTAACTCACTTTTCGAACTCTCACAGCGGTTTTCACGGCGGCGGTCGCGCTCAAATCAGTCGTAAAGCAGTCATTTTACGATTTGGCATTCTGATAAACAACAAACTACAAGCTCCCTCCTTGTCAGTTCGAGTTACAGAATCGCAAGGCAGATCTTATAGACCATCCTCATTTATATCAATTTCGCTGCAACATCGTAAGTCAACTCAGTGTTATATATGTATGTTTGTGATTCAAATATTGAGTTTGGATTCCCAGTATAAAAAAAATTTGTGGCGTTACATCCTTTTTTAGGTCTGGGCCTCTGATTTCTGTATCTGTTTCATGATCATTTGTCAATCTAATAGGCAATTAGGAGATCGGCCTCCAGTGCCTGACACATGCCGTCGACTTTTTGAATCTAAGGCAAGCCAGTTTCCTCACGATGTTTTCTTCTTCACGATCCTACGACCTCAGGGATGAGGTTCGCACGCTGATGCCACTAGGCCAACACTGCTCTATATTCCCAGTATAAATCAAATAATCATACGTAATAAAATTAATGATTTCCACATCATCATTCTATCTTTAGAGTTATTACTAATTCGATAGAACGACACAATATTACTTACACCGATTATCTTACATATAAAAAAACCATATGATATATATATTAAATAATCTATAGATCTTATAGCTTATAATATAGCAAGCAACTCTTGTGAACTCAGCCAGTGTACAAGCAAATAGGTCTACCTCGATAGAAATTCTATTTATTATATATATTGCTCGGGTGAGTCGCGCTTCGCTAACCAGCTGTACATCCAAAAGTTGAGTCTTCCACTTCAGGTTCTTGCTTGGTACCCGTAGACCCAGTATCTCCATTATATCCAGGTATCCTAAATAAGTACACTGACAAAGCAAGCTCTCTTTTGAGGCGTAGCTGGTCATAACCCACCATACCCAGAACCATCAAGGGAGCTAGAATCAGGGTCGGGTACATAAGCGGATGAGATAACCCCTTGGTTAAAATCAAATTTAAATTATAACTAATTTAGAAAGAGGATCGATTTAGACAGCAGCAAATAAAATATAAAAATAATAATGATAGGATAATATATAAAATTACCGAATTCAGAACCTTATAAGTAATAAAAGCCTATATCGCTGTACTATTATTACCACTGATCAGCTTGTTTTTCGATAAGGGCCTCCTTCAAATGTCGCTATCTTGATCTGTCTTCGCTATTCTGTACCTTCCTTGTAAATTTTTCCCATAATACACATATCCCCCATTGCCATTTACGTCTTTTACGTGTTGCATAGTTAAAATTAGTTTTACTTTTTATTGACTTAACCTGAAACTTATTATCATTAATTATCATTTGTCTCTTTCCGTAAAATCCTGTTTATGCTGTGATGAAATAAAATTAGGTTAAAAGATCTTTATTGTCATTAAAAACATAAATGTCACTTACGTTAAAAAAAAACATAAACACCACCGTCGCACGCATTAGAGTCCTGCCAAAAATCTTCGCAGGCGTATTCGAAATGGGTTCACTGCTATTTCCCGTATAGTATATTTCATCTAAAACTACGTATTACACGAGACATTCATAAAATTATTAATAATTCTTATACTTCATCGAATATTTGAAACTAAAGCTTATGCCGGCCATACACGCTACGGTCTACCGGAGAGGTCCACCTGTGCAGGTATGCCTGCGCAGGTAGACCGGAATGTGTGTGGGAATAGACAGGCGACCGGCGCAAGATCGAAAATCGATTCTTTCTAGTGACACCGTACGGTGTACCTGTGCGTGTGTGCGTGTACTCCGGTCGCCTGCGCAGGTTGTTAAGATAGTAATCGGCAATGTATCTACATTTATTACCTACTTATGTTTTAAGTTTGATTTGTTATTTAACTGTGTCTTCTTTTTTTATTATAGCAGTAACCATTTCAAGTAATTTAATGTATGTTTTCTCGTCCATTCGAAGATAGTTTTTAAAATCTTCTGGTTCAAATTTCAATTCATTTAATAAATTAACATGACTATATGTTTTCCTATTCAATAACCAATGCTTACACCACTTTCTTCGCTTGTTTTTCGTATCATTTTTCTTCAAATTAAAACAAGACCTAGCAACGCCAGCGTATCATCGTCCACATTCGATGCCATCGCAAAGAGAACTGAAGACCACTCCGATACACCAGAACGTCCCCATACACGCTACCTTTGTTCGGTTGACCTGCGCAGGCATACCTGCACAGATTACCTCTCCGGTAGACCGTAGCGTGTATGGCCGGCATTAGGTTTCCTAGAAAAGCGGTGCCGTTACCCAACTGACATTGTCCTATCAAACGTATACATTCATTGAAAAGTTTGTGACTTATCACATACATACCCTTTGGTATTGGTCTGTTAAAGATAAACTGATAAAATGTGTTAGCTTTTTCCCTGAATTCGCTGATAGCTTTTTCTTTTTGATTAAAAGCTTTACAAATAAATATTTTTATATTAAACGCCTGAAATTAAATCAATGAACAAAGGTGACCTCTAAAAGAACAAATATTAATTTTAAATGAAAGTTTTGAGTAACATTAATGAAGTCTATAATCGTGACTCGACTTCACATAATGTTAACCAAAGTTTCCCGCTCGGTCAGCCTCCGCTGGCCGGCGGTTGTTCTGCGGCCGACTTCATTACAGCTGCGTGTTCAACGTTGTATTGTGATTTGAGAAGGCTTTGGAGGCATATTTTACTGTGGTTCTAGCTAATTAGCCCGTCCAATATATATTAATACTACCATATAATATATCCCGTCAATACTTGGTGGTAGAAATATACTTTGATTTGTGCTATACAGATATCTGCTTTAAAAGTTGAAATAAACATATAACTCAATCTAGCACTTTAAGCTTTAATGGTTATTTTTCTCTCCTTATTTTAGCCGTGTCCCGCGACTTTAGCAGCGTTCATTTGCCACCTGCCTTGAACACTTTGTTTCAGGAATGTTAAGTTTAAATAATGCTAAAGAAATACTTGTTACGTATTTGTATAATAACACTATCGCAAAAATAAAATTATTTTAGATTGTGCTATACAAATTTATCATCCACAGGATTATTTTGTGCAGTCAGCTTTACGTCACAAGTTTATTAAATATTAAACAGGTTTAGGTAATAATTTCATGACAAAAACCAGCTAATATCCTATTATCCGCTTATGCTAATATATTCGATAAATCAAAATCAGTTTCATGTTACAACGTGCCTGCAGCTATATTGAAACTCGTTCGTCACCAGCGCTTTGTTCGTGTGGTAATATATATAAGATATATTATTAAGGATTTTCAAAATGAATCACAAATTATTCTCTGTAATACAAAGGTTTTGTTTTACAATCACATTTTATAATAATACAATGCACTTATTTTCTGACTATAACAATTATTGATAACTGAAATACAAAGAAACGAAATTTAATGTTCACTTATCCTCAATTATATCTTTTAATAACAATACAATGCACTAATTAATCTGCACGTCATCCGCCATTAAATCGCGCTTCTCTCCGACGCGTCATCTACCAACTTCCACAGACAACTTGTAAAACGCGCCAAATTCAGATGAATGAAATATCATTTCATTACATATATTATTAACCGTTTGAAACGGGCTTTCAATTAATTACGTTACTTAATAAACTTCTTTATTATCGGTTTTGACCATCCGTTGATTACCTGGCACAAGGACTACTTTATTTAGTCCCTACAGTACTGTAAGAATTTATTAAGATTTTTTACTAAACAAGTTCGGAAGATTAGGCAATGTTTTAGATGAAAGCGAGACTGAGAGTAATTAATATACCTTTTAAAAAATATTCAAAATCATTTATTCATTTAGGTAGCACAATGTACACTTATGAACAATAAAGAAATACATATTAAATGTTAAATGCTTCTAATTTTACATTTACTGCCAGGTGTCAAATCAAGGAAGAACGAGAAAAACTGACAATAAAATCTCCGCCACTCTTTTTAATCGCCAAGTTGTTTGTTTTACACAATGTTTTTGAGGCACTATGACACCATGCGTCACATGACATCTTAAGTAATTAATAGTTAATTAAAAATTAAAAAAATATAAAAAACAAAGTTGTCAAAATCAAATAATCTTTTCAAGTATAAGTTAAAGATGCATTCAGTTTGCATTAGTATAGTGGAAGGAATGAAAGCCTCTTTCACACTCTTCCTCTTGTATTTTTGCTACTCTTTTTCAATCTCTCCTCGATGTCGTTTTCATCCCAGGTTTCTGTAGCGGTGCTCTCCTTTCTTTGCTCACCCAGTCATTTCGTAGACGTATTCTGATATATTCCATGGATTAACTACATGTATGCCTTTGTTTATTGAAATTTAGATAAACTTACTCCGAATGCGTAAACCTAACTAATGGGACTATGTGTAAAGAGAACAATAAACCAGTGGCACTACAATCCTTAGTTTTGGTTTTTGATATCGTTATGTGTTTATAGATATATTTTTGAAGTTATACTTCTTTAGGCGCGTTATGAAAAATTGATGAGAGTGAAATTTTACGATGCGCGCGCACCGTGACACAAAATTAACAGAATGAAGTTGCCCTAGAAGATGCTACGGCATTGGACATAATTTAAAAACAACATTCGAATAATAATAGAATTTATGTTACACTTAATGTAAGAGAATAATAATAAATATTTATTTATTTAGTTTTTCAAATGTTAACTGAACTTTATTGACTATAATGACTTCTTTTCCAGTCTTTGATTATTTAATTGTAATTAATTATTTGCATGCAATCAAAAACTATTTTTAATAATGCCAAAGAAGTATAACTTCTTACGCGCGTACATAACACGCTCCCTTTTTTTTCTAGTTTAGCGAGTGTCAATTGCGCGCATAAAGTAAAGTATACAGCCGTAGTTCGAACTTACGACGTGTA